TGATCCCATACCTCATAAAATCATGCTTCAGAATCATCCTCAAAACCCATCATCGGACGTGCTTCACCCCCCCCCTTTCCACAGCAACCCTCATTAGATCTAAATCTAATTTAAAAGGGATCTAACATGATATAGACCCCTCTCTTTCCTCTTTGTCTAGTGTTACTTCGCTCTGTTTCCTGTATGTAGCTAAGACTGTAAACTACTCAGGACAGGGACTACATTTGTTTTCTCTGCATCCAGTGCTACTCGTACCTGTGGCACCATAAATAATACATGCCACCAGTTCCCTCTCCTGGTGCTATAGGCTTTTTTTGGCGGAACTCCCTTTGCAGGTTTATAAAGGGGCTGAACATTAGGGCTGAGTCAAGACTCGCATAATACAGATCCTGTGTTTCTCCCCAAGCGATAGGAAGGATGAAGGCTGTACGGTAGATTGCGCATGCATTATTGTCACTGGGTTATTTAATAAGGATTGGAAGATATGATGGAATAAACACCTGAGACCTCACTACACTACATCTTTTACCTTTGCTACTGCTGGTGGAGCTGCTCCAGGGTTGAAATACAGGCCTGATTTTTTTTTCTTAGTGTAGACATGTCCAGATACCTAAACCTAGTGAGTCCTTTCTCAGGTCAAATGCTCACTTTAACGGAGACTTTGCCTAAGCAGGGACAGAGGGATTTAGCACTAAGGAGGCTAGAACCAGAAGACACATGATGAAATCTGACCTTAACATTTGCCCTCGAAAACTTATAACAAACCTTCCAGTATGGTTTGAAAAAGTTTTGATTGACTTCTGCAAGTGAGGTTATTTAGTCAGAGGGCGGCTAAGGGACTTGCCCCAGGTCACTCAATTCAGTGGCAGGGTGTGGGATAGAATGCAGGAATGCTGGCTTTCCCTTCCTTGCTTTAATCACTTGGCTATCCTCCCTCCCAAACTTCCTTCACTTCTAGACATTGCAAAGGCAGCAGCTGCTAACCCCTGGGAGGTGCAGGTTCCTATCTGAGGCAGTCTCCTAGTAAAATGGGCAGCTCAAAGAACTGTAAAAGAGCAAATAGGGATTCAAGGCCTGCTCACAACAGACCAAGAAATACAGCTCATCCTGTGGCTCACCTTCATGACCATAAATGTGGCGAGTGTCTGTAGCTTTTACATCCCTTTCTTGTCTAGCTCCTCTGCCTGAAACTTAGATTCACTACTTCTATTGGCTTTAGCAGTTTGTTCCAAGCTTTGAGCACAGAAATTCTGCCTGACTTGCTGGCAAGCATATACCTCTCCTGAGCTCCAGCTGACAAAGTCTCTTGGTCTCTTTCTCTCTAGTTTTGACAAGTCCATGGTCTCACTATGAGCAGGTTTAGAAGAGAACAAAGGTTCCTTTCCCCTCCCCCTTCCTGCAGGGAAGTGGCGACGGACCCTTTATCTTTTCTCTCTAAAGTTCATAGCGGAACTTGTAAAGAATAATTCTACCACCTTGCATTTGCATAGCACCTGTTCTTCAAAGGTCTCAGTGCATGTATCCATGCGAGGTCAGGACTGTAGCAAACCGGTGGCCAACTAGGGCATCACATATGTCACTGTGTTGCATACCGTGGACACAGTGAATTTCACAATAATTTATCTCTGAGCCTTTTGTTCCAAGACCAGTTGAGACAGAGGAGATTCTTCAACCACTATTAGCAGCATCAGACATAGACATAGAATAGAGCAATTCTGATTCTCTCCAACAGATGGCAGTGGTACATATATGCACAGTTTATATCTATTTTATAGAAGGGCAAACTAAGGTGCAAACAAATTGAAATTACTTGCCTAGGTTCACACAGTGAGTCAGAGCTGGGAATAGAACCCAGGAGTCCTGTTCTCCAACCACGTGCTCTGGCTTAAAGAAAAAATGCACAAAGAGGTGCTAATGAAATTGAAGACCAATTCACGGTATGTTTTTCTGTTTCCTTCACAGGCCTCCTACCCTCAGTGGCAGCCCCGTTATCTCCGACATCTCCCTTATTCGCCTTTCTCCTCACCCAGCAGGACCTGGTGAATCGCCTTTCAACCCCCCTCACCCGTACATGAACCCCCATATGGAACATTACCTCCGCACCGTGCACAGCAGTCCCACTCTCTCCATGATCTCTGCTGCCAGAGGCCTCAGCCCCGCTGATGGTAAGCGCATTGCTGTCCTGACACTGAGTGTGAGGGTTTAAAACTGTAGCTGCAGTACAGGCTATCAAGTGGCTGACATGAAATGAGTTGTGCAGTTCTTAGATCGACTGTTGTTGAAATAGGCCTTCTCCCAGCCGTTGGCATGGGCTGGCACCCATGTTGGCAGTCTCCACAGAGAGGGCAGAAAATGAATGCGCATGGCAACTCTTAGGCCTAGACGTGGTCTCTGGGGCTCAAGGTTGAAGCATGTAGCCAACGGTGCTGGAGGAGTTTGCTCTACTGCTACTTGTGCTGTAGCTATTTGGAGCTCTGGCACTTTTCACCAGCACTACATTCACTATACCCCAAGGATCTACAGCTGCAAAGGATCTACAGCTGCTCTCTGAAGGGGGGAGCTGTTGTTTTTTCCCTCGTCTGTAACTACACATTTGTTTTGCATCATTGCATTGACAAACCAGAGCGTGAGAAGAGCTGTTACTGTTGGATTCTCTTATAAATATTTTGCTTAAAATTATGTACCCTTTTACTCCAGTCTCTGCTCTTTTGAGCTTCGCTGGCAGTGGGTCCCCACAGGGACCCCGGCAGTCCTGTGACAGGGCCGCAGCTGTGCAAAGTGTTTGTTGTGTCTTTGCTTTTTACACAACACTAAGAATATGAGGAAACATCTTGGACACAGTTGGATTCCAAATAACCACATTTACTAACTATATACAAACACACAAGGCCTCACTACGGATATACGCTGCTGCTCAGTTGGGTTCTTGTGGCGTCTGCAATAGAAGACAGCAGGGAGGGCTCACTAGGGGACTAAAAAACTACTTAAAGGGCTACTACCCAGTTCCTATATACTACAGTGTTTCTGCATGATGCTAGCCTTTCTCATGTGATGGGTGCCCTAGTGTAGTGGGGAGAGGCCACCTGACCCCTCCTTCCTCATTATTTCTGCCTCCCCCTGACCCCCAATGAGTAATCCCCGCAGAATAGTCCTTGCCCAAGTAAAGGGGATGTGAAAACCTGTGCATGGTGCATAGAGTCTAGATGCAGGCTGTATTCAGTACAGTTCCTACCTTCCCCATCTCAGTGAGCTGAGGCATCACACAGGCTTACGGAGTGATTGATGATGTTAAACGCTGTATATTTGAGGTAGGAGAGGGGAGGAAATGAAAAATGGGAGGCGCTTCAGTAAAGAATTTCAGAAAACACTGAAATACAGGTGTACCCTTTTGAAAGCATAGATAGATATGGAGCCCAATATGTAACGCTGGAGCTGCAGCAATGTATGGCAGTAGAGAATTTGGCCACTATATCTATATATCATTCAGTACAGCGTCTCATTTGAGTTGCAGAGGAGTACATCAGGAGTATCTCCATAAGAAATCAATATAAAAAGTGTGTATGTGAAGTCAAAATTGGACCTTGTACGTATCTACATAGAGAGGAAGGATGGGCCAGTGATTAGGGAGCAAGGCTGGGACTCAGGACTTCTGGGTTCAGTTTCCTGCTCCAATGCAGACTTTCTGTGACCTTGGGGAAGTCACTTAGTCTTTCAGTGCTTGAGTTCCCTGTATGTAAAATGAGAAGAATAGCACTTTCCTACCTCACATCAGTGTGGTGAGGATATATCTATCAAAAGACTGGGAAGTGTTTAGATGCTGCAGTAACTGAGGGCCACGTAAATAGCTTGGATAGATACAGGCACATGCATACCTTAAAATGTGGCTCTTCTGTTCCTGTTAATTAGGTTTTGCTCACCCGAGCAAGTGTTAAGATTCCAAACCTCCGCTCTCAGCATACAGCAGAGAGGTTTTATTGCTCATGTATTTTTTTTTCCACCGCCTTGCAAAGTGTGTTTCATTATTTGGCATTTTAAAAGGGGCATTGTGTTAGGGGTTTTTTAGGCCATGATAAATAAGTTAATGGAGAGCTGGTGGGGAGGCAGGTTTGAAAAATTACAGCGGGAAGAAAGTGAGTGTAATTGGCTTTGGCAGCCAAAAAGGTTTTACACTGCCAGACACTAAACCTAGCTCTCTGCATTAGATCTCGGCTTTAATTTCCTTGCGCTGTGGTTGTTAACTGGACTCTACTTGTCTTTTTTTTTTGCTAATAGGCACCAAAGTTGATGCTGACAGCATTTTTGCTGTGGGCTGGTCAGGCCTTCCAGACCCCTCCCTGCAGTGAATTCTGTTTTCATGTGGAAGGATTATTAGAAGGGGGAATGAGAGATTGTTTATAAATTTGCGGAAATGGAAGAATGCGGAGGCCCCTTTTGTCCACAGAAACACGCCCAAACGCACGTCACTAAAGCACCAAACTGAGTCGTAACAAGAGGGCTTGGGGGTTCTGAGGCAGACTGTAATGTCAGCTCTGGAGTTTTACTTACTGTGAGAACATTTTCCCCATGTTTGTCTCCTCACTCTCTGCCTCTACAGTGGCTCATGAGCATCTAAAAGAGAGAGGCCTCTTTGGTTTGCCGCCTCCCCCTCCAGGAGCCAACCCTGCCGACTACTATCACCAGATGACGCTCATGGCCAGCCATCCGAATCCTTATGGGGACCTCCTGATGCAGAGTGGGGGAGCAGCTAGCACGGCGCATCTTCATGATTACCTCAGCCCTGTAGATGGTGAGTAGGGAATGTGCCTACCCCTCGCTTGGGGGCAGCTCACAGAGGGTTCCTCTGGGGGAAGTTTACTCGAGCCTAGAGAATTGTTCTCCATGTGGATGAAAGCAGATGTTATTGTGTGTGGTTTCTCTGTGTTGTTAAAGAACATCAAGGCTGCACTATAATTACTGATTTAAGAAGCTGAGTTTTAAAAGTTTATCCATATATAAAAAACAATCATGACCATTTGGAGAGGCACCTTGGCTGCTAAATACATGGGAGTCAACATGGTGTATAGTGCACGGCCTGGGCTCTATCCCTGCTCTGCCAGGGACCTGCAGTGTGATGTCAGACAAGCCACTTCACCTCTTTGTGCCTCTGTTTCCTTTCCCACCTTGTCTGTCTTTTTTGTTTAGACTGTAAACTTTTGGGGGCACAGGCTGCCTTTCATTATGTGTTACACAGCGCCGAGTGCAAGGGGACTTTAATCTTGGTTGGAGCCTTTAGAGCCTATGGTAATGTAAAGTCCCAGACAAAAACTATGTTAAAATGGAATTAAGGTTGAAAGTACATGGTAAAAATCATTACAGGGGTGTTGTAACTGTCCCCAAATCAGACGTTCTAAATCCAGAAAATTCAGAGTTAAGGTTACACTGAAAAGAAATAAAATCATGTTAAGGTATGAAAATGTAGCGTGAGCACCCACGGCTCTGCCCTATAGAATCCGTCCATGTTATAACCTCACAATTATGGTTCATGCTGTAGTTTCAGATTAGATTACACTGATTTTTAAAGATGTAAGAGTTTTTTCCCCTATTGGTGTCTCACTCCATGAAAGACAATGGGGGGCTGCACAGGCAGCACTGAGGGTATGATGTGGCCTGTGGAATGTTTGTTAGAGGTGCTGATGCACAAGGAAAGAACCCAGCATGACTCTCTGATCCCATGCTTCTGATTGGCTCATGGATTAGTTCAGGCATTGAAACTGAGGGTCTGTCGCGATCCATTACTGCTTTAGAGATTCTACTTTTGACCTTTCAGACTTAAAGACTTTGAGGTTTCATTGCTTTATAACTGACTTCTTTTTGCACTGAGGCTGCAGTGATAAAAGCTAATCTAAATTTCTAAATAAAAACAATTTGTAAATAAAAACTTTGCAGCTGTTTTCTGCCATCAACAATTAGATTCACCAAGGACCAGGATTCTAAGGGTATGTCTACATTGCAATCATCAGGTGTGACATAACCCAAGCTAGCTTTAATCTGGCTATCTTGGGGACCATTAGCAGTGAAGCTGCAGCATCACAGGCATCAGATGGGCCAGCCACCCAAGTATTTACCCATAGTTCTGGGTGGGCTTGTACAGCCTATGCTGAAGCCCATGATGTCACGGCTTCACTCTCCAGTAGCCAAGCCTAATGTACTTACTCAAGTAGATTAAAGCTAGCTCAGGTATGAGTATGCGAGCTGAAATCACAACCCATGATTACAGTGTAGCTATACTATATGTAAAATCCTGATCTTTTCTCTCCAGTACTGTTCTGCCCTTCCCCACAACCACAGCCCTCAGGCACAAAACTTAGACAGGGTGTTTTGTTAAAAAGAAAAACAGGTGGTCAGTAATAATTTCCTCATGGTCTTGCCTGTTAAGGGTTAACCTCTGTGGGTGCAAGGGGGCACCTCTGAGGCCTGGTCTATACTGGGGTAGGGGGGCGGATTGACCTAAGATACGCAACTTCAGCTATGAGAATAGCATAGCTGAATTCGATGCATCTTAGGTTGACTTACCTCGCATCCTCATGGCACGGGGTCGACTGCTGCCGCCGCTCCCCCATCAACTCCGCTTCCACCTCTCGCCGCGGTGGAGTACAGGAGTCGACAGCAGAGCGATCGGGGATCGATGTATCATGTCTAAACTAGACATGATAAATCGATCCCCGATAGATCGATCACTACCAGCCGATCTGGCGGGTAGTGTAGTCGTACCCTCAGTTTTCCTCTGCAGATCTTCTTAGGCTTCAAGGTCTGCATTTATTCCCTGGCCCTCCCGGCCTCGTCATTAGTGCATTTCTTGAATTGTGTTTTGTTTCAGTGACTTGCAGCAGCTCACTGAAGTGCCAGATAAATAGCTGGCTAGATAAACAAATATGGCTTTTGTAATACTAACACGTAGCCATAAACAAATATGGCTTTTGTAATACTAACACGCACCATGGTCCTCGTCCTGTAGGATACTTAGTGTCCGTCTTTTATCTGAAAGTCATATGGGATTTTCTGTTCTTCAGAAGGGTCTCTTCCTACCTGGCTTTTCCGAAGTAGCTCTGGAATAAATCATTTAACAAGGTCCCTAATTAGATGCAGCCACGTGTATGTCAGTATCACACAGGAGGGTTGAGTTTTGCCAAGCTCTAAAGACTGTGATCAGCATTATTTTGATCCTTTAAAAAAGCTTTCTTGATCAGTGAATGGAAAGCCCATCTGTAAACTTTTGGATTCCATTAATGGAAACAAAGCTATTAAGCAATAGTGGAAATAAATGAAGACTTGAAGTGAAATTCCACAAGGCCATTTTAAAGAAGAGCATGTCAAAAGCAGCAGGCCCCCCAAAAATCTGGGCTCCACATGTGGAGTTTTATCCATTAGTCTGGGATTTATTCTCTGATCATGTTCAGACAGTCTGATTTATCTTTCCTCCCTCCCTCCCCAGCAAAGCCACTAGCAGTGAGATCGGGTCTGGTTGTAAACTACAGCCCTCATTCAACAAAGGACTTCAGAACTTCCCTGAAGTCAATGGGACTTAAAAACATGCTTAAAATTAAGCCTTTGCTAAACAGGGATGGACTTAACCACATGCTTAATGCTTTACTAAATTGGGACCTACGCCCTATAAAAAGCGTTTGGCAATGGCTATATTACATAGTTCGCGTTCTGCTGGCTGTAGCCTGTCTGATAACAGAGGCTTGGTTTCAGAGTTACACGCGATGAGGGAACTGCTAGTCACTAAAACCTGGAGTGAAGTGGCTTGTTCTGAAACCATGATTTGAGAAGCTGAACCCACCACTCCGTTTTTTTGTTTAACAGATTATTCCAATCATTTATTTTAAATAAGTGACCATATAAGTACCTAGGCGGATAGTTTAGTAATAAAACAGGATGTTCTTCTGATGCGTGAATATCAATAACACACATTAAATGCAGACATGTCATTGGAATAAAATGTTACATTCACAGAGCGCCTTTCCTTCCAAAAGATCCCCAGATTGCCTTAAAAACTTTACAAGAATCACTTCACCCTCCCCTGAAGTGCAGCCAACTTTAGGGTGGAACATAACAGCTGTTAAACACCACATGGCACAATAGGCTACAATAACACAAAGCTGCTGTGTTAAACGGCGGGGGGAGGAGTTTGGAAATGTACATTTGAAGCAGAAAACCTCTCCTGCTCTGGATACAGCAGCACACAGAGCAGGTACTCTGCTGGTGAGAGGAAATCTGAACATTTGCAGGCTCATTTGGAAGTGAGACAGCTGCCCGTGGTAGTTCTTTCATGCACTCTTGTCTGGGGCTTTAGTTAAAACTTGGGGGTGATTTCTAGATAACTAAGGGCTTGTCTACACTGGCATTTTTCGTCACCCCAATGTCGCTGTACTGAGGTGCAGCAAGAGTGTAGTCATCCTGCACTTGTGTGAACCTGCACTTTCACTGGTGCAGCTTTCCCCAGTTTCAAACCTTTGGTCACCCAGAAGGCCAGTGGCAGAGCTGGGAATAGAACCCAGGTCTGCTGAATAAAGATTGTAATAGTCATGGCTGGATGCAGAGCTTTTCTTTAATGTCATTGCTTTTAATTGCACCCTACATAAAAATGCGATTTGACTGTCAGACTCTAAAGCCGACAACCCTTTTCTCCTGCCCAGAAAAAAAATGTGCAAACCAGAGCGAGCCCAACGGCATCCCATATGTGCTTTATCTGGAATCCTCCTGAATTGTGGTTTCTAATGAATCCAATTTATATATTGAGGTTAGACCTTCTAAACAGTTACCTTGTGCACTGGAAATAGAAGAATGGGGCCTTTCAACAAGGATCGTAGGGAAGCATTAGAATTCCTTGAACTGTTAAGCCGTATAGGGCCCCAGGGAATGAAAAAGTAAGGGTCCCAGGATAGCACCTGGTACCTGAACAAATGTCCAGCATCTGCTGCAGTCAAAGGAAGATGTGTGATGCTGTAACAGAAGGAAAGAAGGGAATAAGGAACCGGTTATATTGAGACTGTTTTTGGCTGGCTGCTGCTTATTGATAAGGGAATTGTCTTATGTCAAGCACAAACACCTTTTTATGATGCTGTTACTGCCTCTGGATTTAATTTGATAACCTGGGGGGGATACTTCTGTGCCCTGTGAATAGAATTTTCTTTCCCTTTTTTCATTTTTATTTTATTTTATTTTTTGCAATCAGCTCATTAGAGTGCTGGCTTCAATAAGACTATATTGTTTTTGAATGAAGAAACACAGAAGAAGCACCAATTGCGTCTGTGATTTGGAAGGGAGGGAGTGTACAATGTCTGTATATCATGTACATTATGTGGCTGCCTCTGGATCAATTGATTCTTCAAGTTCTTTGTCCACCACTTAGATTGCAGCACGAAGTTATCTTTAAAGATGCAGTCTGAAGTTCTGGAACATGCTGTCAGTCACAGTGCTTGGAGGAGTTCATTTCTAGGGTCAGTTCAGGAAGACAGTTAGATATTCCCAGGCACATTAATACATAAAGGACTTCACAACTGATCACCATGTGTCTACGTTAAGCTGGGATGTGTTGTTCCCATTTCCAATGCTGCAAAGAGAACTTAAATCCTTCTTTATGAAAATTCCTTCCTGTCCTGTCCGTATAATATCCCCAAACAGTGTGTGTGTGTATGTGTGTGCGTGTGTGTGAGCGAGAGAAATTGTCAGAGTTATGAGATTGAACCTTAAACTGAGACTGAACCTAAAACTTGTCTCTGACATTTCTTTCTTGGGACAGTC